TCAACATGGTCAAAAAAATATTGGCACACTTTAATTTGAGGTTTATTTCACGAACTGGAAATTTATTAATATCTTTTCATCATACAATTGGCATCTATGGCATGTTGGAATTTTATTGGTATCAACAAAACAAAATTTTGAGTTAAGTCTTGTCCAATTTTACGCCAATCCTATGAATAAGTTTCTTTGAAATAATTTTTAAAGAAATTTTATTTTTCTTACTTTAAAATTCAATAGGTATCATAGGTGTTCTACAGCATTTATATTCAGAGACTGTGGTGGCATTTTCGATTGGCTGGGGACATTTTACACTATCCATTCTTTTTATACCATCCACTCTTTTATTTGGTGTGTGCTTGGTATCATTTTCCTGTTGGAAAATAAATGCATCTATGATTCTCAGATTTTTGGCTCTACTTATTAAATTATATTGCAAAATGTCGACATATTGTTCTTCATTCATAATATTGTCAATAAAGGTTAAGTTTTCGACACAATTCCATGACGCACTCCCAAATATGGATACTTCCATCTCGATGTTTTACAGGAGGCCTCACATGTAAAGTTTGAAACTCAATCAAGTTTGCGCCAAATGAACTTGTGGCTATTAAAATGGAATATGTTTAACTTACTATCATCAGAAAAGATAAAAATTTTCTAGAATTCTAGTTCTTCATTAAATTAACTTTTGGCAAACTCAAGTCTTTTTTTGCTGTTAACCTCTGTGATATAAGATTTTTTCCTTTGAAACCTGCCATAATAATTGTATATATCAATTATATTTCTAGCAGAAGGTAGTATTTGAAGTACATACAACACCTTCTGCTATCTGAGCGGCTGATAAAGTGTGATTTTGCTCATCAATTTGATGCATATACCTTTGTGCCCTCCCATTTAATTTTGGTGGCCATTATGAACAGAGTTTATTTAAAACTTTCTAAAGTTTTGTGCAATATTCTGAACACTACTAAAACTCATTTCTAATTTATTCGATATTTGTCGATAGCTAAGTCCACCAGAATGTAATTTAATGATGGTTTTTTTTTTTTTTTTAACTGAAACAATATTGACTGGTTTACCCATGTTGTTATGGCAAATATACAGCAAAGACTGATTTTTATTGTTGTCATTATATTATTGTCACTCCGCGTTTCCAATCTCTTGAAATAAAAAGGATTGATTTGTTTTGACTGGAGCTAATAGGAAACATTTAAAACTGTGCCAATACTTTTTTGAACCTCGAATTTTACTCTTTATTTTTACTTTGAACATAGCTTTTGAATTCTGAACAGGTATTGCTTCTAAAATATAATGCTCAAAGACCACTTTGTTATATAAATATTAGTTCTGGAAAATATCTAAATCCCATTGAGATTTGCATAAAAATTAGAATGTCAATACTTTTTTGACCCATATTACATGTATTTTACATAAAATTTTAGGGATTAAATAAGAATTTTAATGCAGTAAAAGTTTTCATATTGTGAAATTTCTTATATTTTTTAGTTAATAATGTAAACTCCTGGAAGATCACTTCTTAATGCTCCGATATTTCCAAAAGAAATAAGTGGTTATTAAATAAAAACAAAATTATAAGAATATTTATATATTAAACCAAAATTTATAATTACTTATCTCAAGGGGTGGGATACTGACAATCAGATCAAACTACTCAGACAAACTAAAATTAACTACACTAATCATGAAGAGAAGAATAGTTGGGGTGCTCAGTCAAAAAAGGAAGGCAAAAATAAATTATAATATTTATTTACATATGCCGACGTTTCGACCTGAAGTTCAGGCCATCATCAGGGCTTTCTCCTTAAGTGTCAAGGTGAGAATCTCACCTTGACACTTAGTGAAACTATGTCTTAAATTTAAACATCGCCTGACAAACAGAACTAGATTAGCTTGCCTTTTAACTGTACAACATTAATTTACTAATTTTCAATAATTGAGTACGAGAATATTACAATATATATATATATATATATATATATATATATATATATATATATATATATATATATATATATTATAAGATAATTTATGTATTTATTTAAATCAAAAGTTTTAAATTAGTATCTTGAATGAAATCCTTTATATTTTAGTTCCATTTTAAGTCATTTGGATTCAACTTCAAAGTCAATTAGGAGGGAATTTCTCTCCATTTTTCTAACGATTTAGTTTTGAGATATTTTATTAAAGTTATATTTTTATTATGGACTGTGGATCGACATGAACCCATAAATGTTCGATAGGATTTAAATGTGAACTCTGGAGAGAAGTTTCATGGAGAATATTATACTGCTAAAATTTGAGTGTTCATTCATTTGTAACTGCACTACCCTTGACAGTCTACAAAAATAATACCATAAATAAATTAGAAGAATTAGGAAAACAAGATGGAATTTTTACGATTTGGAAAATATTAAAATAATATGGATTTGAAGTCAAAAGAAACTGAAAATGACCTCTCATACATTTAATGAATAAGAAATAGAGGTTTGCTTTTACCAAAGAGTTTATTAAAAAACTTAAAAGATACTTGAACATAGGTATGCAGACCCGAGGAGGGGGAGAGTGATCTCTCCCTCTTACTATAAAAATGTTGAGGGGACAAGAATAATATCATTTCGCCCCTTTCTTCCCCAATAATTTGAAACAAAAAAAATTTAAAATTGATAAATAAGCTACATAAATGAATAAAACATATAAACTAAAATTGATTCAAAAAAGTCTACTAGCTGGCCCAGCTAAGGAATATAAGTAGGTATGTAACTAATTTATCATGACCTGAATATTCCTATTATTGAAATTTGTATTCATATTCAGGAATAATAATATGGAAAAATATCCTTAGATTTTGTAATTCATTCACGTTTCATGTGGACACCTCCATTTTCACATGATTTTCTTATAAATTTTCTGCAATAAAGTAGGAAGAAATATATTTAATAAGTACAAGTATAAATATATTGTATAAAAAAATTTTTTATACAAATTTATACATAGTCAGACTGTGAAAGCCTTTATTTTTATTTGGAGGTTGTACAAACTAAGAAATCAAAAGTATTTTTCAGTTTTTACCATTATTAATTTTTAGCTGAAAAATTCTAAAAATGTACCTATGTTATGGAAGCTGTCCCTCTTCCTCTCATGTTCAATCTATACAAATTGTAATATATCCAATTGGTTTGTTCAGATATTTTCAAGTATATCCATAGGCCTAAACGTATATTTTTTTTTTCTTCTGTTGGCATTACAGGCTGTGTATTTTAGATCTTTTGCCACCTTAACAACTGTTTAATCTCTACCTGGCAGAAGTGGGTGTAGAATGAACATTCAAATTTTACCAGAATAATGACCCTAAGCTCCACACTATCGGATGCTAAGTAATTATCCAAATGAATATGTAACTCCTCTCCAGAGTGTAAATTTAAATTCTGTTGAACATTTATGGGTTTCTGTCAATCTACAGTTCATAAATGAAAATATAATATCAATAAAATATCTTTAAACTAAATTGTTGAAAGAATTGGAGAAAATGTACTTCCAATTGATTTTGAAGTTGACCAAAGGTTTATACAATGGACTTCATTCAAGACATAAATTTAAAACTTTTGTATACAATAAATACCCAAATTATTATATAAAATGAATATATATGAAAATGAATATATATCTTGCTGCATTAAAATTCTTATTTTATGCTTAAAATTGTATTTAAAATATATTTATTCATTCTTAGACCAATATTTTTTTGACTATTATTTTTACTATTTATGTATTTTTCTCTTCTCCTTAGGTTGTGCTTTTTCTTTCGGGTATATATGCTTATATTTTATATTTTTGTCTTTATGTGTGCCAATATGAGAATGTACGTATAAATAGTTCCTTTTATTTATTTTACTTTTTTTTTTTTTTCCATTACACCACAAGTATCCTAAGATTTTATTTTATCTTAGTATCTCCATATTATTATATAAACCACTGTAGATATTATTACATTTTGTATTAAGTTAGTTTTCTATTAGATAGCCTATTGTTTATAAATTGTGTAGTTATGTATATATAAATATGTAATTTCTCTTCTTTTTTTTTTTTTTCATCACAATTAAGTAATTTTAAGAAGATTTTATGTTCATTTGTATATATATTTTATTTTTTATTTTTCACTGGTTACATACTTTTTAAATAATGTATATAATATTAAAATTTTTATAAGTTAGTTTTTGGCCAGATTTGTACTTTACTTTGTATTAACTCATCATTGTTATTCTAAAGGGACTTAGTCCCAGAATAAAGTTTAATTTTCTGTTATATTCTATTAAATATTTTTGATAAAAATAATAAAAGGGGTATTGAAGTTATACTTAGATGTTCAAATAAATAACAAAAAGTTGTGAAAAATTGTTTTATTAATTTTCAACCAATGTCTCTGGCCACTGACTATAAAATCTTAGTAATAAAAATTCATTGTTAGACCAAGATTTTTGATAAAATTAATAAAAGTGATATTGAAGTTATACTTAAACGTTTAAATAAAAAACAAAGTTGTGGAAAATTGTTTTATTAATTTTCAACCAATGTCTCTGGCCACTGAATATAAAATCTTAGTAATAAAAATTCATTGTTAGACCAAGATTTTTGATAAAATTAATAAAAGTGATATTAAAGTTATACTTAGACGTTTGAATAAAAAACAAAGTTGTGAAAAATTGCTTTATTAATTTTCAACCAATGTCTCTGGCCACTGACTATAAAACCTTAGTAATTAAAAAGAGCACCATGGTAGATTCAAAGACAAAATAAACATTAAAAATTCAAGACTTATATTTTTTCATTTTTATCATAAGGAGCAGAACCAGTGAGTTTCAGAATTTTACAGAGGTTGAACATAATGAGAATTACTTTCCATTGAAGCAAAATAAAATCATAAAAAGACTTTTATTATTAGAATTTATTGGAGTGCTACCAATGGGTAGTTTCTCTTCATGTTACTTATTTCATATTTACTTGTTGTATTTATACAATACAATAATACAGTTGTAAATTTCAATAATAAAAAAAAATTGTTAGAATTTAAAAATATGTTTCTATTAATGTTTAGAATAACTCTGTTATATTTGACAAATAAAAATTAATATTCCAGAGAATTAATAATTAAGAGGTTATTGTCTAACAGGGATAATTTCTTTCAGAGGAAAAACATTTCATTAAAAAAAGAAAATTCAGCCTATCACAGAAAATTTAGAAGGTAATAAAAAATGTGATGTACATATCAATAAAAATTATTGTTTTGAGCCCCTACGCTATCAGACGCGGGCTAACGATAGATAAATATTGTTAAGGTTAGAACTATCGATAGCATACTACATTTTAACCGAAAATTGCCATATTTTTCACACATATTTTCGAATTCCATATCAAAGTTTGAGTATTACAATATGTAACACAGATAAACATTGTTCCATAGTCTAAGAAAATGTCTATCCAATGTGGAGATATGAAGTGTAAAATATCGACGTTTAAAACCTCGATTCTAAACCTGTTATTTTCGGGTTAATTTAAATTCTTTCCTCACACTTATATTCATTTATTTATTATTATTATTTCTTTTAAGATTGCTTTGAACTAGTAAGTATGCAATTTATACTCGGCATGAACAGTTATTGTCGTCTTTGTCTTAGAGAAAAAGGTTCCTTAAAGTTGTTTGAATCTGATCTTTCTAAATCTGTTGCTATTAAACTCTTCAAGTGTTTTAATTTTAATGTGAGTTATCATTTATTTGAATTTAGCTAGCATGCATTGCCATAATATACTGGAAATTTTATTATTGTTATTTTGATTTTAGATTCAAAAAAATGAATCTCTATCCAAGAAGATATGTTCTCAATGTAAGATACAATTGGACAGTGCATATGAATTCAAGGAAAAATTGATCGAAACAGAAAATCTTTTGAAAAATGCAATTAAACAAACTGTCAACTCTATGAAAGAATTATTCATTAATAGAAATGATGCATCGCAAGAAGATGATAAAATAACAGATCCTGACAGTGAAACTTGTGATTCAATTAATAAGTGTAGAGAAATCAGTAATTCAACTGTAGAGAAAAGTGATAATGTATGTTCAGTGTGTTTTAAAAGTTTCAAAACTTTATACCAGCTAAAAAGACATAAAGTTGTGCATACTAAAAGTAACAATTATACCTGTAATGAATGTGGAAAATTGTTTTACCAAAAATGTACCTTAGAAGTCCACCAGAGAGTACATAGTGGTGAGAAACCATTTTTATGTAATACGTGTGGAAAATCTTTCAGGCAATCTTCAGCACTCAAAAGACATATTTCATGCCATTTTGATGAACGGCCGTATAAATGTAAATTATGTAATAAATCATTCAAACTAAAAGAAGTACTTGCTTCACATTTAAGAACACACGAAGAAAATAATTTTATTTGTTCCACTTGTGGTAAATGTTATGCTAACCCATCTTCTTTATATAAACATTTAAAAATACATTCTGAAGGTAAAAGGCATACTTGTACTCATTGTCAAAAGCAATTCACCAGATCCGATTTGCTTAATGAGCACATTAAAACTCATACTGGTGAAAGACCATTTGTATGTGATGTTGTTTGTGGTTCTCGCTTTAGTAGTAAGTCAACACTCAGGGCCCATGTTATGATACACAAAAATGAGAAACCATTTCAGTGTCATTATTGTAGTAAATTATTTAGGCAAATTGGCTCCTTAAATCGACATATTAAGTGTCATACTGGATAAATTCATATTTTATATTGGATATTTGAACTTCAATCAAACATTTTCCCTTGAATTAAAAGAACATTTATGTTAAATTTTTTTTTACTTTAAATGCTATGTGAGTTTGATTTTTTGTTAAATGTTTATAAATTAATGTTTTCTTCATACTTCCCTTTATGTTCTGTAAAATACTCCTTAATTAACTAACCAAAAAAATGGTTGGTAATTAATAGAAAAACGTTTCTATGAAATTAAGACCATCTGTGGCTACTGAGGGTTGGCTAATATTAAACCAATCAGTAATCGTATTTGAATGACTGAATGGTTATTTGTAAATATAAATTAAAGTAAAAATAAAATATTTTTTATATCAATTCTCCATGTTTTTTTCTTTTAATTTCTGTAATCCCATGTTGTTTATTTATATATTTTTAATTTATGTAATCGATACAAAATTTCTTTAATAACTTTAATTCTAACGCTAAACTGATATTTTTTTAATTACGGCTGCCGCAGGGCAGGGCAACTCAGGCATACTCCTGGAGGCATCACCTTGAAAGGGTGCCTGTCACTAGTTAGGCTGACCGGCCACCGAAAGCGCAGCTGATTCAGCTTCCAATACCGAATCAAAGGTTTTAATGACAGGCCCGATGTGTAGTTGAGTGGCATAGGAAGTTTCAGCTTTGGCTCAACCAAAGTTCGGTTTTGAAGCTACCTCAGCTTCCCCCACCACAGCCTCATAACCATGTGACTTTGTTCCTCAGTGTAATCCCTTTTTCTCACTTGTTTTCACAGCACAACCTCTCAAATTATTTCATTTTGGTTCAGTGTAAAATATTCAATGGATGTGGAGGAATTCTTAATCGGATATGTAAGGGAAAATATTTGATTTTAAACACAAATATTTGATTTTTTTTTTCAACTCTGACATGAACTTTGCTTTTTTTCTTAAATGTTATATATGCATTGTCTAATTTATATATTTTAAAACTAAAATGGAAATATATAGTTTGCACACTGTACTTAACTTAAACTGATTTAGTTATATATTCCTATTTTTCTATTTTTAAAGAAGAAAGAAGAATTCACAACGAAAAGGCAGGGAAGAGCATAGGAAGGATGTATGATCAATTTCGAGAGGCTTGCATCACTGTATTATTAAGTTTTTTTTAATATCAGCTAGGTCTTATCTATATTTATGTCATTTTACAGGACTTAAATGCTCAATTTTCATATATGCTTTTCTCTAAAGTACCTTTAATTTTTTTTTTTTTTTAAACTTAACTGTCTCTCGTTGTTATGAATTATTAGAAATGGTTAAACATAACTTTTGGAAGAATTTGATAATTGAATAAAGGAGAAAAAAAAAAAAGATAAACGCTTATCCATCTCGAAAATGAATCTCTGGAAATAATATTCAGATGGTATAAATATAATATATCGTTGAAAAGCAAAGAATTTCAGAAAAAAGTAATATCTAATTAATAAAGTTGTTAAGGGAACACTGCCATGTTCCCACTTTATTAAATTTGAAAAGCAGCACTGCTGCCATCTCTTGGCAGGCTTTAGAAGCAACAATGACTGAATGGACATGCAGAGGACCTGCTAAATTCATGTCCATTAAGACTGGAGCATAGCTGGCCGGCAAGAAAATTACATCTTACAGCCTTCATAGGCGAGATGGAGTAGGAACTCAAGAGGCTTAGCAAGGAGAGGGGAGGAAGAGGAACGCAGAATAGAAGAATGCAGCAAGTACATTAATTCATTTTCAGCAACCACCCACCTAATTCATAGTTAAAATAGTTGCAATAGTCATGCTAAATTTATTAACCCACTAATTAATTGTAATAGACCTGGCTTAATAAGTCAAATTATAAAATAAATATAGCAACAAATACAGCAATCTTTTCCACCCAATAGCTTAATTATATATTAAGCAGATATCTCATATACAGTCCACAGCAGTAAAATAAATGTACCGGCTACAAAAGCAGAATTATTATGTTAATATCCCTGACAGCCGTGGAAGAGAATGGCATAATAAATCAGACAAAAGTAGAAGGTAACGGAGAGTTACGAATAAAATATAAATGATAGTTTTTGAAAACATAAATCACATGTTTCCAAGGAAATGAAATGATATTTTCTTACTAAATGTAAACTTCTAAAAATATTTTTAAGTTTGAAAAAAAGTATTTAAAACCCACGTATTCAAGACAATGACATTGTTTAAAATACTATTTCATTGTACGTGGGTGAATTAAGAAGGGAAGTACATAAATATTTCATGGATGTATAAAGCATATGTTTATAACCTTAAATACATTTATTGTAGTTTAGTAATTCTAGATCTGATATTATATTTAAATAATTAGGCATCAACGTCCCTTTATTCCGAAAATCGTCTTGTTATCTTTTAGAATATTAAATTAGTAATTAATGTGATAAGCTTTCCCTTTGAGATGTTATTATTATCCACTTAAAATTAGTGTGACAACTTTTGACCTATTTATTGCAGTCAATAAAAATCTCTTAATTTCATTTTAGTAAACTTTACACTGGAAAATAACTAATAGTCGTACTGTCCATAATCATTTATAGGTTGAATATACAGATATACTTTCAAATATCTACAGACATATATATTCTCAGGCTCAGAGACTGGAGCTGTGTGGTTTATAAAACAGATGGAGTAATGAGGTTTTTATTGCCTACCGTTAATATAAATAATACGGTTTTTGTTATTTTAATAGTGTTAATGTTACTGTGTTAGCTGTAATCTTTAAGCTTTAATAGTTCCGTTAAAAGTGCACTTCAAAAATTGTATAGTTGCTCAACATTGCCAGAAAATAATTTCTATTCAAAGTAGAGAGATAAGTGAAAGTGTGTGTTGCACACACCAGGTTTTTTTTAATCTTCTTTCAGGACAATATATATATATATATATATATATATGTATATATATATATATATATATATACCTTCTTTATATTACTGTAAAGAAATAAATATTTTACTGGATTCATTGGAAGCTCGTGCCTCTGTGTTTACATATACTATAGAGGACATTTACTATCACTCCTTGCAGGGGCTTATTGAGAGAAAGTTGGGCTTTTAGTGTGCCGCCCCATCTTCTTTATTTATTTCTCCCTTTCTTGCCTTTTGGCTACACAGGATTTTTCAGGGATGGCATATCACAAACGTCCATCTCATTTCTGCTATTGAACGACAAATATTTTAACAATTTTGTTTTGTTTTTTCAGAAACTTCAGTTTTCTTTTCACCATATCAGTCTAGCGGCCTTCCATGAGCAGGTATTCTTCTTCCAAGATTAAAGTGTGATGGCTACTGAGCAGCTTTCCATCCGTACACAAAATCTTTGTAATATGGGTAGTTCTGCTCTGCCACTAACTGGGGAAATTTATCCTCCTTGAGGCCATAAAGTCCAATTTCCCTCATCATTCTGGCCCTTAGTCCATCAAAGGCGTTGCAGTTGACTATGATGTGCTCAGCCGTCTCCGATACTCTGCAAATGGGGCATTGGGGATCTATGTCTTTTCCAAGACTATGCAACTTAGCTCGGTTTGATGTTTAAACTGAAAATGTCCTGTAAGGAATTGAGAGACCCAGTAATCCGGGAGAACATATTTCGCATCCAAGCGACTTCGGACGGTGGGGAAATATTTTCTTAAGGTTGCTCCTTTTGGAATAGTTACCCACCGCCGATACCACTCATCTGTGCTGTCCTCCCGGATAATCCTTTTCTATTTTATTGAGTCTTCTGCAATCCTCACCCGGATATTCTCCGGAAGACCTACTGAGCCTTCTCTTTTGAACTTATACATCAATGAGTCTTCTCGCAGCAGAAGGTTGAGAGGTTCTCCTCCTGCTAAGATCTGCACCGCCTCATGAGACACACTTCAGTAGGACTTGGAAACACTCAACAGAGCGTACGTTGAATTGCTGGAAATTTACGTTTCTAACAGTGTGAGAGGTTTTGAGACTACGCAGGAGAGGTATACCTCAGAATACCCAGTATCATTCCATTTTAAATGGTCCTCATAGCTGGATATCTAAGGCCCCAAAATGCAACCTCTAGGTGACTAAGGCCATTCAAGGGTAGGGCCACCCTATTTCCTAAGTAATCCAACCCTATCTTCTTTAAAAGATACCCCTCAAAGGAGACTGGAGCCAGAACATTCTGGATTCACAATTGGTGAGGCCGGCCCATCCTCCTCAAAGGATATCCCCCTAAGGAGGCCGGATCCAGATTATTCTGGAAGGAGGTTGCCTCGTCCATCCTCAGTACCCCAAAGAAAAAGAAGGAGGCAAGACACAGGAAATTTGGAACATCTGACTTTTGCTGTAAGTGAGACATTGGCAACAGTTTCTTCTGTAAGTAGATTTATTTTCAAATCATATCAAACATTAAATATCAATGATGTAGAGATGATTGACCGTGATTTAATATGAGAAGGAAATGATCAGGAGGTGGGGTCAAATAAATACTAAATTATACAAATAGTATATTTAATTTTTTTGCCGACGTTTCGACCCATTTTGACCTGACGAAGACCTGCAAAGTGGGTCGAAACGTCGGCAAAAAAATTAAATAATACTATTTGTATAATTTAGTATTTATTTGACCGCACCCCCCGATCAACTCCTTCTCACATTAAATATCAATAATTATAAGTATTTTTTTTTTTCAAGACTGAAAAATTTAACAGAAGGAGATTCAAATGAAACAGAGAATAAAGAAGATTGATGTAATTTCCTAAAAGTAAAAGGTTTATTTTAAAAAATAAAATAGACAATTTATTTTATGAAGCTTTTTTGGAAGAGAATTTAATATAAATAAAATTAAATTTATTAAATAACCTCACTATTATTTCTTATTTTTTCCATTTACACCAACATTAATTCTTAGTTTTAAGAAAATTTGAAATGGTAAACCTTATGTTCCCATTTTTATAGATAAATTTTATTAAATATAGTTTAAAAAAATAAAATAAAAACATTCAACCAAGGAGATTGGATAACAGAAAGGAAGGGCTTAAATTTATTTAAACAAGCTAAAAAATTATAGAAAAGTCTCTTATTAATTACAAAATCATTTATTACATATTTTGGTTAAATAATTATTCAGTTCCTCCCTTATAATTTTGGCTGCTATAGAAGGATTATATCCCATCTTTGAAGATCAAACAATCAGTTTTGATTCCAAATTATCTAGAAACATTAAACATACAGATGAATAAGAATATTTATAAGTGCCTGCCTCATTGTATTGTAATTGAGTACCTCTATCCAAGTAATGTCTGGCATTTTTTGTAGTCAGGAAATTATGAAGAGCAACAAAGATGAGAATGATCAATTGTACTTTATCTGGTGGCAAAAACCATTTTTGACAACTCTTCTTGCCCAGGAAGTCTGTAATTAAAAACTGCCTTATCTGGAGTTAGATATCTGTAGGGGTGGGGCTTCATAAGGTATGGACTCAAGGAGAATATGCCATCCCGAATGAAATGGTAGATAATTGGTTTTTCTCATCCTGGAAGTGGTATACATTGGGAAAAAATTCAATTTTCCTTCCTGTAGAGCCCCAAAAAATTATGATCTCCTTAAAACTCCATCACTAATCCAGGTATTTACTCCTGTATCAGCATAAATAAATCTGTAGTTGCTGTCAACTATTGCGAGAAGCACCAAGGAATGAAACCCCTTATAATTATAAAAAAATGATACTACACTACTTGGAAGGAAGTCTAAATGTTTACGATCAATAGCTCCTGCAAATAAAAAGGTAACATTAAAAAAAATTATTGAAACAGTAGTACAATAATTTTAAGAATTGGCAACTCAAACCTAGGCACAAAGGATAGTTACAGGTTCACTCGAAATTATAAGCAATTACTTACCAATCTTCCTCAGTTTGGGACAACTATAAAAAAAAAAAAAAAAAAGCAATTGCAACATGGAAGTCATTATGAACAGCATGACAATTGCATATTATTGTTTGTGCATTATAAATTTCAGGTATTCTAATCTCAAAAATTTATACTTCGATATGAAAACTTACCTTTACATAACCACAATTTTTTAAGTCATTGTAAATGCTTCTGCAAACCTTCAGGATTATTATTGAAATTGCACTATAGTAGATCCTTGTGGAATACAGTAGTGATTTATATGATTTCCCGGCAGCCAAGAAGCGAAGTGTGAGGCTGAGTCTGGAATTAAAGAAAGCACTATATAGTAATAATAATATCAAGTAAAGTGAACATTATAATAGCAGATATTTTACGTTTCTTAGGGAGAAATGGCAGCCTGCATATGAATATCGCTTTTTAAAATGTCATCTCAGACAAAGCCAAGCTCATCAAAGTTGCCTTTATTTATCCTCAAACAATTGATAAATAATGATTGGTCATGCACCCTGAGCTCATTCTGCACCATAATCAAAACGCCTTGTCCTTGACGACACGAGACCCAACTTTTCGTCCAAAGTCTTTGACATTTATTTTGTTGACTCTTATTCAACTTCAGATAAAATAATAAAGTGGCGAGAGATCCGAGTACAACTGAAGTTGCAACCATCAAAATAATCTTTTTCCATTCCATTATGAAAAGTGGAAAGAAAAAAACAACTAATAACACTGACCAACTGTTTTTTCATTGAGGCAACAATTCCTCAAGGGTGCGGTTTGGGTCCTATCCTTTACATTCTGTTTACCACTGATATTCCTACTCATCCCGAAACCCTCCTGGCAACATTCGCTGGTGACACAGCCATCCTATCTTCCAATTCAGATCCCGAAACAACATCCTTTAACCTACAAAGTCACCTCTCTCTTATTGAACACTGGCGTAATAAGTGGCGCATCCAAGTAAATAAATCCAAATCCAAACATATCACCTTCACCCTTTGGCGCAAGTCCTGTCCACCAGTTTATTTCAACTCCATACCACTTCCCCTCTCTGACACAATTCGGTATCTTGGCTTCCTTCTAGACAAAAGACTAACATGGAACCCACATACCAGACTTAAAATACTACAGTTTAACTAACGATATGGCCAACTATATAGACTACTCAATAGAAAATCTCAGCTTTCAGTTGAGGAAAAACTATTAATCTACAAGACAATCCTGAAACATATCTGGACCTATGGATTTGAACTGTGGGGAACAACAAAACTTTCTATCATCAAACGCATTCAATCCTTCCAGTCTAAAGTTCTTCGAACAATAGTCGATGCTCCCTTTTATGTAACCAATAAAACTCTTCATAATGACCTTAACATCCCATTTGTACTTGACCTAATCCCAGAAATTGTTTCCAAATTTCTCCAGAACCTCACTCATCATCCTAATCCTGTAGAACAATCTCTATCTAGCTCCAGTCATCCCTAAAAATCTTCTCGGAAGTTTAAATGGCAGTGACCTTTTGTTAATATGTATATATTCGAGTACTGGCACTGTCCAAATTCTTCTCTCAATTCCTGAGCGTCTGTTGCTCTAGTGCCCTCCATCAGTCTACACTGGCTTCTACAAGACCAGTGACGTGGCTTCCACATTTGGGAAACAAAGCTTGATTCAGAGTCCCTTGGAACAATGTAAATATTTTACATAGGTGTGAATGTGTTTTATTTATGTTATTACCATTCGGATCTAATATGTATTTTATTTATCTTGTATATTACTTTATCTTTTTTTTTTCTACTTTGGTTTTTATATTTATTTTTCTTTTTTATGTACATATTGTGTGAATGAATACTATAGCTCTAGTACCAATACCCTTTGGTGTGGCAGACTGTATTAATACTCAATAAAATCATTAAAAAAAAATAACACTGAATGAACATCAAAACAACACTGGAAGATAATTTTATTTTATATTGGATATTTGAACTTCAAT